CATTCAATTCGCACGGATCGACCGTCACACAGAGAACACGTGATCATGCAGGATACAAATGCACACTTCACAAGATCTCACAACTGGATTCGACTAAGTTTGCAAGGTTTTTGAAATTAGATGTTCATTAGTCATTCAAAGATTTGTTTAAACAATATAAATGCATATTTGCTGAATGCTGACGGCAAACAAGAAAGTATTTTATTGTTTGCCTTTCTATTACTAGCAATATAAAAGCAATCTATATCATTCTTTTTTGTATACATTTTAATTCCTTTGTTTAACAGTTCTATCTGATTATTAGACAGACTTCAGTCCGTGGACAGAACTGTTAACGACGACAGCGAACAAGAGGGAGAATGTGAGCAATGTGTGTTCAGGCGCTGCCGTTCTCAGCGCCGTCAAAATAAAAGTCCCGCCTCGAACGCATCGGCCAAACAGAAAAACTTATCTGCGATATATCGGTCGACCACTAATCCAAACTGTATGCTAAGTGTTAATCATTTTGACAATAGTGGTCCTGACATAAATTTAAATTCTGTCATTAATTACTCACCCTCATGTTGTTCCAAACCCGTAAGACCTTTGTTCATCTTTGGAACACAAACACAAATTAAGATATTTTTGATGAAATCCGAGAGCTTTCTGACTCTGCATAGACAGCAATGTAACTGAAATGTTCCCAGACCCAGAAACGTGCTAAGGACATTGTTAAAATAGTCCATGTGACATCAGCGATTTATCCGTAATTTTATGAAGTTACAATAATACTTTTTGTGCGCAATGAAAACAAAAATAATGACTTTATTCAACAATTCTTCTTCCGCCATTATCGAGAGTACCACGACATATGTGTGTGCATTCTTCTGTTTGTAAACAAGGCGCAGCGCATGCGTGTTCTACAGGATCAGAAAAATCTTGGATTTCATCAAAAATATCTTTTTTGTGTGTTCCGAAGATGAACGAAGGTCTTACAGGTTTGGAATGACATGAGGGTGAGTAATTAATGACAGAATCTTCATTTTTGGGTGAACTATCCTTTTAACTTCTTTCACACACACACACACACACACACAAACACTAGTGAATGTGGACATGTACCTGAGTTCACAGTCTGTGTTGCATGGCTCAGAGATCACAGCTGGTTTGGGAGAGCCATGGCACCGCTGATCAGACACCACTACTCGATCCGACTCACGACTGCACAAGATCTTCCTCTTGCGCTCTCCTGATGCACATAACATACAGCACAAGACATACACAAGTTCAAACACATGTTTGTGATCTAGACAAAGAAAGAAAAAAAAAGTTCCTCATTGCATTCTCCAAATTTCCAAGAAACACTGAACTGGATGACCCCGCCAGCATTAAACGTCTGGTTCAAGTTTACCGAATTCTAAACTGACTTTTCTGGCGAATGTTTCACAAAAAATATTTGTTGCTTCTCTCACACCCACCTTGGCACAACAGACTGCAATCCTGCCACGGGCCGTACGCATCCCAGAGAAACTGCTGAGGTTTGTCCTCTATGGGAATGTTGTAGGAATACCTGACGTCAGGGTTATAGAGGTTACCTACGGATAGCACCTAGTTGGAAAAGATCACATATAGGCCAAAAGTATGGTGTTACAAAGATTTTAAACATTATTCACACGTTGTTAAAATGTGAGGTTTCACAATGTAAGACAACATAAAAGTTTAAATTGAATTCATTGAAGCCATATTACCTGGATAATAATCTCCTCTTCAATGCGGTCAGTGCAGTTGATTCTCTCAACAACATGGTCAGAGCCGCTGTATTCAATAACAGCATTCCCTACTCTGACTTCCCTTTTAAACATACTGACCACAAAATCTCCATTGAGTAAATATTCTGCACGGCTGTTGGACAAGGCTGCAAAACAAAAATGAAACAACATGCATGCTTTATTTTCATTATGTTCAAGCACAAAAAGCAAATATATATTCATGCCACAGGATAAATAATTAAATAGCGTCCATTTGTTGAAACACAAATATCTCTCACTACAAGACCTGCATGACCTAAGGAATAAAACATTTTCATTTACAGTCAGATTTAGCAACAGTCAGGGCAGATTAGGCTAATCGGGGTAAAGAAATCCAGCATTCTGTGAAGAGGCCACATCTTGCTCTACTGAAGTCAGTGTGCTTCAAAAATGCGCACTAATGTGATTATGTAGCTAATTTCCTGAGTTACTTTCCTCACTACTTCACACATTACAATGGCCAACCCCTGGTCCTCATACATAAACACACATAAATGCGCCAAATACACATAGGCATGCAAAGATATCAATAAACACACAAGCACAGCTCAGTAATCTGCTGAAAACAGCACATATGTCCTTAGGTTTGTAGAGTTCTGAAGCATTAACACAAAAACGTTTATGAAAACAACTGCAAAAGCCTCTTGTAAATTAGCTTGCAGTAAATCTTGACATCAGTTCACCTATGGCACATCAAACCATAGGATTCATTTAATTAAGAATTGATCATGATGAATATGCAAATCAATTTTCCATTTGACAACTGTCTTGTAATGATGCATAAAGCATCAGCACTAACTGAATTATAGCATGCTCTATAGACTCTTGTCTTGACATAAATATTACATTTTTACAAGGGATGCATGGTAGAGGTCTGCGCGGGACTATTTTTTTAGTCCCGTTCCCGCCAGGTTATATTCCGCTCCCACCCGCTCCCGCTATATATTCACTCTTTGTTCACCCGCTGTCCGCTTAGAATAATTTTCTTCCCGACCCGACCGTTCCCGCTAAATTTAGATCTCGTTTCCAGAATCTCACATTTAAATTTCTGCTACTGAAAGAGAGAGATAGGCTAACAAATAAAAGTGTAGTCTGCACAAAATTGTATGTTATTTTATTAGTCTTGTCAAGAGTCTTGAATTTATTGACTTTGACTTGAATTTATATGAATTATCTTAAGACACAAAATTCGTTTAATATTTTATGCAACACAGTAGGAAAAAATGTCACAGAGAAAATAAAAATATTGTACAAAAATTGTATTTCTTATTTTTATTCGTCTTGTCAGGATACAATTCGTTAAACATTTACAACACAATAGGAAAAAGTGTCGCAGAGAGAAAAATTTAATAAAATTGTAGGTTGTACAAAATAGCCTATTAGCTATTTTTATTCGTCTTGTCAAAATACTAAATTTGTTTGACATTTTTCTGTTAACACAGTAGGAAAATTGTCGCAGAGAAAAATAAATAAATACGACATCTGTCATTTAAAATTATAGGCTAGGCAAAATATAAACAAAACCGAGTTGAACGGTTCAAGGACAGCGCGCATCCACACTTTGCTCCATCCTTATTCTGCTCGGTCACTCATCGACAACCTGCCAGTTCTGTCTGAGGGCCGTATATTTACCACCGGTACAGCCTGCTCTGAGCATCGTTATGCACATGCATAACAGACCCCACAAATAAAATGCGTGACGCAGAAAGCATGCGTGCATAACAGTCCGAGTGCAGGCTGTACCGGTGGTAAATAAGAATAAAGCGCAGCTATGCTGTTCTGAATGGACGTCGGGAACGGGATATTGTTAGACCACCCGCTCCTGTTCAAATTACACCAGAGTTACCGACCGCTACCGCGTTTTACTCGGGAATTTAATCCCGCGGCGCAAAAAAATCTGGTCGGGTCCCGCGGTTCCTGTGGGAGAGCCGCGGGAATGCAGACCTCTAATGCATGGTATTTTAGTGCCATATTGTTATCTGTCGATTTTAGAGATTATTAAAACTTGTCAGCCAGTGTTGGATATTTAATCGTATGCTCATTTGTCATTACATTTGCCAACATATAATCTTCATTTAAAGTTAATCTTTAAATAATTAAATAACTTTTTTTTTTTATTCAATACTATGTAGAATTGAGTATTTTACAGATTTTAGTATTTTATTAAAGAATATATAGGGTTTTATTTTAATTACAAAATAGTATACAATTTTAATTTAATATGAATATAATATGAAAATAATTATCAGCATGTTTATCAGTGCATGTCTAATTTTTATTATTACTTTTCCAAGTTGTATTTAAATCCTCTGAACTACCATTGAACTACAACTGGGAAAAAAATCATGTTATTGTATTTAATGTCTAATGTAATTTCTTATCTTACCGAGGTAGTTATCATCCTCTGGTTTCCCTGAGTAGCTGTGTTGTCTCACATCTATGTTTGTAGCACCGCTGGGAATTCGCACCACAACATTGTAACCTGCAAAAAAGCAGAAATCAACAAAATATTATTATAGAGTAAATATTATTGTTCTTTTGGTCTGTAATTGGGCTGAACTGCTTGGAACTAAAGCGAATCAAGTTAAATCTGAATTAAACTGCTTTGGGTTGCTTGACTAACATGAAAAGAACTGCGCTAAAATAACAGCCTGTGTCACCTACCATAATGCACTATGTTGAACGTTCCTGCCACAGTCTTGCAAGATGAGTTATCCCCACCACACACTCCACACTTATCTCTCCTGGCCTTGGAGTTTAACACGTGGTCACATCCTGCTTGCTGCAGAAACAGAATGTGGAATTAATTCAAAGGACACTTGAACAGGACTATACAGGACTAATGCTTCAGATTATGCAGGATATTCACTGATTTAGGTGCATTTTCACACCATATAGACACACAAATGCACCCACCCTGCACAGGCCCTGAACACAGATGTCATTGGTATCAGGCCCACACTGCGTGCCATCAATAACTCTGTCCCTGAGTTGGTAGTAAGCTGTACTGCCCGCCACACGACAGAATAGCTTACAGCGATCCTTCATCAGAACTACAGCACACACAGCCATGAGAAAGAGTTAATACAGTCTGACTTACTGTATTTAGGACACTGATAATATGTTTCTCATCACAGCTATTCATCTTTGTACCACACAATTATCAACTTAATTAAAATCTAATTGTGTTTGGTAATTTGATTTGTCTCAAATCACGAGAAAAATCTGGGGAATTGTTTAATGTGGGTTATACATACTGAAAGCAATTATATATTGGTCGAACAATACGTTTGAACTTATTCTATTGGGATATCTTCAACAAATACTGAGGGCATATGAGCTACTGGCAAACATCAAGGGAGAAATTTGCAGTATTATTTCAGTATTATTTGTTTAGTATAACATTATTTATTCATATTTTGAATTAGCTTTTGTTTGTATACTTTCAGTTTTAATTTTAGTTTGTCTTTTTTATTACTTTTTAAAATATTTCTATTTATTATTGTTTATTATTATTATAGTTTAAGTCGTTTCCGTGGAACACAAAAGGAAGATTTGTTGAAGAATTTTCACGGAGCTTTTACAATTTGTAGTGATGTCTTTTAAGCTCCCAAATGACAACAGAGCACCATAAATGTAGCCAAAACTACTGGTGTACATTGTACAGCTTTGTGTGAGGAACAGACCATGTCTGCGTTTCTCAAAAGCATCATAAACTAAGTTGATTGTAGAGACCATTGGTGGCTTACAATGCTTTTGGGAAATGCAGCCCATGTCATTATTCAGTAAAAATCTTCTTCTCTAGTGAGCTGTTAAATCAAGAACTGCTGTTATTGGATCATTGAATCAGTGAGTTGAAATTGGATCATCAACCTTTCGAGAGGGTTCTTTTAATTGATTCAGACTGAATCATTTGTTCACATCAGTTTTTGTGTCACTTTTCAGAACTTAACAGACATGTTCACTATGATCTTATGTTTTTGAAAAAGATCTGCATTATTATTTTTCAAAAATGTAAAGGTTTGGAACGACATGACGCTGAGATTTTAATATTAATATTTAAATATTCATTTTTGAGTGAACTATCCCTTGAATTTTTTATTCTACAACCCATGATGTGCCAGCTGCAACTTACTTCCGCTATACTTTGGCACCCAGCGGACATTTGGAGGTAGACCATTGATGTTGAAGTGCCGCCCATCAAAGCTGGCACACTGTTCCTCCCTGAAGTCTTTCTTTTGCTTGGAGCATGGCTCAGAGTTACAGGAACGGAATTTCATCCTGCGTCCAACACAATACTTCCCCCCATTTCTGGGCCTAAAAGTCATGGAAACACATAAACAGAGCACATATTCACATTGAGAAAATGTAACTACAGTATAAATGAAACTGTCTTTCATAGAAAGTCCCTTTCGCTTTCTTGATGACGTTTGTGTCTGACTGCAATTTAAATTGAGCAAAACCTGCTGTCTACCCATGTGCATTAAGTAAGCAATCTCTTTTGAAGAATATTCTTCTTCAGGATGGCTGTGTTGCTGTCATTTGTCAAGGAACATTGAGAAACCTGGTGCCAATTCACAGTCCAGTGAGGATGCAAGACTACAAAGAGCGGCAGCTTACACGGGTCGGTTGCACTCGCGCACAGCAATCTTGATTCCCCCTCCGCAAGTCCTTGAGCATGTGCCAAAGGGACTCCAGACGCCCCAGGCCCCCTCAGTTGGAACAGATTCATGCTCTTTATGGATGCACAGGCCATGTTTACAATGCTGCAAGCGAGGAGCAAACACAGAAAAGATGAGATCATTGCAGAATCAGTCAGTGCAGCCTGCTTGCTATAAAGTCCACCAACTAGAATGACCAGGAATGATGTTGATACACAGACAATATGATAATTCAAGCCTCTAAGTTATCAATTATCAATATCATCTATTTTAATTTCAATCCATGGTGATTACGTAATAGGTTCTGGGACTCCACCTTTTTTGATGCAGAAATCTTCTCTGAAGATCCCTTTCATACGATTCATGTCAACTTATTTCAATGGCAATAAACTTTATGGAGCAAAGTGCCAAGCTACAGCACTATTCCGCCATCAAACTGCACTTGGGTCAAGCGTTGTGATGCAATGCTCAGATTTAAAACAGTTTCACCCAATGATTACCAGACAATCCACATATTATGGGTGGTCCCTGCGTGAAAATCAAAACAAGCTGCAAGAGACCGGTCCTGTGCATATCTAGATACATCAAGCCACATGATACCACACCGAAAGCATATGACATGCAGGGACAAACAATGTATGGCAGCAATTCGATGTTGAGATACCTAGCAACCATGTAAAATTGCCCTTCTGTGATGCTATCTGCAACGGTTTTCATATGGAGGTCATGAGAAATGCATTGCCGTTCACAATCACTACCACTACGCAAGTCTGACTTGGGTTCACAATCTGGGAAACATTGTAAAACAGAGCCGGGGCAAAGCAGTATATCAGTGAGGACGAGTGTCACTGTGGAAGTGATTTGGTTGCTATTTGGAGGAAATATATGTGTTCGAAGTTACACTGAAGAATCTGCTTTTCATCTGCAAAAGACGTACACAAAACTAATCACATACTCTCCACAAGCAACCAGCCAAATGTATTATTGCTTCACAATAGAAAACGCTACACAAATCTTGGGCCCTATCATACACCCGGCGCAATTTGTTTTTTTTTTGCAAAATGTTTTTTGCTAGTTTCAGCCCGACGCAGTTGTCATTTTCACGTCCTGCGCCACGTTGTTTAAATATCAAATGCATTTGTGCCCATTTGTGCGCCCATGGGTGTGCTGGTCTGAAAACGAGGTGTGTTCAGGCACATTGCTGGCGCGTTGCTATTTTGAGGCAACTGAAATAGACTGCGCCATTGACCAACAAAAACCTGGTCTAAAGTCAATGGCGCAGTAGTTTTTAAAGAGCGTGTTAGTATAGGCGGGTCCACAGCGCGCGTACACTCTGCTTATTACACACACAGGGACGCAGTTCTGGGCAAGAACTCCCTGCGCATCCATGCAGCCTAGCATGGATGAGAGCAGGGAGAGCAGCGATACACCCCCCCACATTTTAGACATCATACACATTTTAGAATTAATCTGATTCAAAGGATAATCAGAAGGCTGAATCCTGACTGACAGAAGAGGAGCTGGGGATGGAGGAGGGTAATTAGCTATTGAGCAATGCGAAAACTGCTGATAATACTGAGAGACCTTATATACGAATAGATAGGTGTTGTATTCCTATAGGTAGATGGGGATCAGCTGAGAGTCAGCTGATGCGAGCTTGATTAATGTGACCTGTCAGAACTAACGCTACGCTTGATAAATATAAAAATGCCTACATGTCATAATGCATAGTCATTGCATGTATCAGAATTAGGCTACCTATTTGCTCGCGCACGAGCAGATCGGTTTCATCTGTGAAGACGCGTTCTGTCTTTGCTTAGGCACAACCCTTTTAGACCATGCGCCGGGCACGCCGACCGTTTTTCCCGTTGTTAAACTAGCAAAAGTGGATTTGGACACGCCCTAAGTGCACCTGCGCCGTGCGCTTTAGACCATGCGCTTAGATCGTTAAAATAGGGCCTCTTATCTTTAAAAGGACAGTTCACCCAAAAATGAAATTTCTATCATAATTTATTCACCATCATGTCATTTAACACAAAAGAAGATATTGTTGGGATCTAAACAACACTGGAGCCTAATGACATTTTTCTAAATATGTTCACATTTGATTTACTGAGTGCTTACCTTTCCAGGAGAACATTCTGTCCCATCTGCCCATGGCATGTGTTGGGTCCGGCAGCCACGCTGGACTCCTTCTGGACTGGTGCACCACAACCTTCGGCACTGTGTCTGCACAACATCCAAACACTTACTGTTAGCTTAAAAAACTCTTAAACACACACTCTTACGCACAAAATTTGTACTGACACTTGTTTTTTCTGCACGCGTAACATGCTTTGAATGTCACTTTGATATTACTAGCTGTACTATGGATTCTGTTTATGGTTTTTTATTAAAAACATCTCCATAAATAACATTAGACAGCAGATAATACACAGTAGAAAACGTCCATGTCAGTATGTTATGCAATTCCCTGAGGGATCTTCTCACCATATATGGGCACACCTGTGTCCCAGGCCCAAATATCAGCTCACATTGTTTATTGACGCTGTATATCTGTCCAGGCAGCTGCTGGGACAAACTGTATGGCCTAGAAACTGGCTCATCGAGCAAACACTCACCATACCCTGTGCTAATGATAAATGATAAACAAATGAGCTGAAGAAAAACAAGACAAACAAGACACAAACAACACAAATGATCTCAGTAAGTGACAGAAGACAAAAAAATGTATCTGTTCCGTTGTTTCCATTCCAGTTGAGAATGTTTAGAAGAAAACAAATGCAAGTTGACGCTGGACATGTGGGGCTCAACATCGAGAGTTCAAACCAACATCACAGGTTCTGTGACTGTGTGGATTGTAAAAGGGGGTTTACATACTCGAGGAACTCTGTGATGTATTTCCGACTACATTTGGACCACATCCAAGGGTTGGTGTAATAGTTGAGCGTAGGGGCCATCACATGTTGCTGGTTCTTGACTCCATCCTCCTTGCATTTGTTACTGTCATCGTGAGGCATGTTGAACCTAAGGGCATGATTGAAAACACACATGCACACACACACACAAACAGGACAATATGATGAGCAGGTTCAGGACACATGTACTCTGATCTGCACACTATCTGTAAGACTGACCAAAGCCAGGTATTTTCACATTTGTAAAAAAAAAATGTATAAAAAAATGTAAAAAAAAAGTTTTTTTGAATTTGAAAATAAAACAAATAAGTCTTTCAGTCTTTCTACTTCAAAATTTCACATTTATTTTAATGTGTTACTTGATGTTTCTTTAAAAAAAAAAATCATATGTATATCACATGTATCTATCTATCTATCTATATATATATATATATATATATAATATGATGATGGCAAAGGTAACCTAAATGAAAAAATAGAAAATAGGGGAAATGAGAATGAACAATGAAATATCCTAAAGCATTAAGGACATTTCAGTAAATATTTAGTGAATACAGCATAAAATAAGTTCATTTTAGTCCAGTTTTTTTTTTTTTTCATTTGTCGTCAATAAACTGTATTATTTATATCAGTATTAAATAGACCTTTTGCCACCCCGCTCTCTAGATATTGCTAGCAATATTGCCAGTATTTAAAAAAAACTATATCAGTTGGCCACCAGTAAGGAAAGTAATAATCCCATGAGCAGCAGAACATATCAAATTCTGGGACAACCATAGGGGAGAGAGGTGGTACGCGCTGCATAGCACTGTACAGCACCAAGACTAAACCCTCACTCAAGCACATGGCACTGATGTCACCACCTGCCACCGGATAAGAATGGAATTCAAAAAGAGAGTTCATTTAAAGGCCTTTTAGAGGTCAATTCCATATGACTGTAAATGCAAACTTAGGCGTAGATCCATTTGCCAATATTGTGGCATAAATATTGTCCTTTTATTGAAGATTTTTACCAAGCTGAAATAGGAACAGATACCGACAGAATGTTTGTTTTACTGTACTTGACCATCATGAGACCACTGTATGAGCCATGACCTCGTTTATTAAGATAATTTACCTCCAAGACTCTATTAAGCTAAAAAAAAACAGAGCATAACTGAGTCATTTCAGCAGTGGTGAACAGACCTTGAGAAGTTGCACAGACTATTATCGAGCTGTACAAACGGCAATGACATCTCCCCAAAACATACCAAAATAAAAGACTAAAAAATAGGACAAAAGGCAGTGAAGAGGCCTGAGAAACTTGCAGACTGGTGGACCTTGAAGAAGTTCTACTACAAAAGTAGAACACAATAGTAGATAAATTAATTAAAGATAATTTAGTTCTAGGTATAATAAGATCTCTTCTCAAGCAAAGTCAGTGTGACAAACAGCATTTATAACGTAGGAGATGTTACAGCTCAAAAAGCATTTGGACACTTAAGCCACACTCAAAACTTTAAAAATAAATGATTTAAAGACAATTATTTGGACACTTAAGCCACACTTAAAACTTAAAAGTGCATGACTGTCATTGTGCTAGAAAGCAAAAAATTTATTCAAGTGGCATTTATGTTGAAGGGGGAAAGTATGCGCACATTTACAAAGCGAAATATTTCACAAAAATTGTACTCACACATGGCCAAGCTCATGAGCGATGGTGAAAGCAGTACTGAGTCCATTATCCTCATTAATACTGCAACTTCTGTAGGGATCACAAACTGTACCCAGCTCAGCAAGACCTGAAAGTGCATGAGAAAACACCGTAGTTAAACTGTCAACTTTAATATGATCATAATCACCATTTTCACACAAAGATGATTTACCTAAAGTGTCACACTTGTCCCGAGCACGACAGATGTCCTGCCTAAAATCAAAAAAAGGACAAGGCTTCACAAATTTGGCCACCCTTTTATCTTGCATTTGTGTCTGTGCTGTCCTTTGCTTTCTTATTTATGCATGCATTCATGGCCTTGAAAAGTACAGCCTAAGTAGTTGTAGCACCATAAATAATTACTTTGTTACTCAAATCATTTCTGTACTGCTTTGCTCAAGGTTCACACCAAGTATAAAGTTTCTGTGTTGCCAAATGAATGGCACTGAAATCATACTGTGGAGAGAGGACACAAAACATAGCAAAACTAGACTTCATGATCGTATGTTTTGTATTCTACAACACCTGTGAGCAATAGGAATAGGTAAAGAGAAAAAATACCTTGTGATTAGGATGGCGGTGTCGTGATGCGAGTGATGATTGTCATCCGGGTGGTTCTGACTCTGCTGCCATATGCAGAAGTTTTTCAAACTGGCTTGTGCATTGAAAGAGATAGTGGGACCATCCTATAGAAGACAGATCATAACATTTGAATAAGGTTAAGGTTTAACTGTAAAAAAACTGCTTAAGTACATTTTAAAAGCGCCCTTAATGCAACCATTAATTACCACACTTCCACACAAAGAACTCTTACCAGCTCATTCTTTATGATGACCAACTTCACAATAACAATGTTAATCAGGTTTCCAATGCTGGGATCCTTATAGATGGAGGAAACCTAAGTGAGAGAACACAAACAACTGGAATTCATTGTGAGGGCTTATAATTACTTTACAGCAGGGGTCTCAAACTACCGGCCTCAGAGAGTTTCAGCTGTTATTATATTATACACTACTGTTCGGGGGCAGTAGGACTGTACGAAATTGTACTTTTATTCTGCAAGGATGCATTAAATTGATCAAAAGTGACAGTAAAGATATTTACAATTTTACAAAAATATTATATAACTGTTTTCACCATTGATAAGAATAAGAAATGCCTTTTTGAGCACCAAACCAGTGTATTGGAATGATTTCTGAAAGATCATACGACACTGAAGACTGGCGTAATAGCTGCTCTAAATTCAGTTTTGCCATCAGACAAATAAGTTACATTATTTTAAAATATATTAATATAGAAAACAGTTGTTTGTTTTTTAATTCACATTAATCTTACTGTAATTTGATCAAAATATGCAGCCTTGTTGAGAGTAAGAGACTTCTTTCAAAAACCTTTTAGAATGTTTGTAATCATCACAAAATATTTCAATCAAAATATTATCACTCAAAATGTGAAAGTACTTGGTAGGGTGGTTTTTACATTTGCTGTCTTGATTTTTTATATACACAAAGACCTTGTTGAACACGTGATGTTAACCCCAGCTGTTGAAAAAAAATGTTTCTTGGCCATTGAGAACTAGCTTGTGCTGCCAGATCCTGCTGAGAATTCAGCCTTTGCCAAGATCAAAATATAGGTCATCTAACCTCCCTGTGAGTTCCAACGAAAAAGCATCTAAAGCATGCAGTCCATGCAACATACCTGATTTTATTTGTTTTATATTCAACATTCATCAAGTCTGTCAGACATATTCACCCCATGCTAATAATCTGTCCCGTAAGAGCATAGTAAGAGCAAGAGCACCAGACCTAAAGCAGACCCAGACACAAACCCATCAAACCAGGAGGCTATTATTAACTGGGCAGAACTTACAATGGACATCAGTGTAAGAATGTAGTGCTGGAGGTTGCTTCCATGATGTTCCACCATCTTGCTGTCTGCCACAACCATGACTTCAACAAAACGGGGGTAGGAAAGGAAACGCTTTGATCTCCGGTGTGGCTTGGAGTCACTGCTTTCATTAGCGGAGTTGTGCTTGTTTTCTGAGGAGGGGAAGGGGGCAGAGAAGAGTCTGGAATTAAGAGTCTCCAGGTCGGACAACATGCTTGAGGGCAACTTTCTCTTCAGTCTGTTCCTGTGTCTGCGGTGTGGCTCTTTATGTCCTGCATTAAAGGAGGAAAACAATACATAAAGTGAACTGATTATGCATCCAAGGAGGGTTAATCATTATCTATATTAGATGATAATATGGATTGTAGACAGGTGTGCCTCCATAAAAGTGAATGCATGCAACCGCTCAGGGTCAGTAAAAGCTAGTTTGAACTGAAGAATGTTTCTTGAGTGCCAATCAGTCTATTAGAATGATTTCCGAAGGACCATGTGCCACTGAAGACTGGCTAAAAATTCAGCTTTGCCATCACAGGAATAAATTCCATTTTAAAATATGATCAATTGCAATAATATTTCACAAAAAAAGTGTACTGGGAATCAAAATTAATTCTATTCCACTAGACAAAAAGAAAGCCACAATGGAGCTTTCAATAAAACTCTTGCAAACTAAAATAAGTTCTTCTCCCAGCACTTTTGGGGGCTAGATGTTTCCTTTACATAACACAATACCAAAGAACACCAAAGGGGTAATTCAAAAAACAAAGCTGCTGTTGAGTGCTATTGATGCGCAGCAGCGTGTATTAGCCCTGTCCAAATTTATTTTTGTAAAACTGAATTTACAAACACTTAAAACTGGCATTGCTTTACTAGAATGCATCTCACCACGTGGCTTTCACGGTATTGGGCCTCTTGAGTTCCCTTATCTTCAGGCCACAGGAAGTGCAAGAGTCAACAGGATTTTGTGGCAGTAAACTAAGATTGGAATGATACCAAGAACTTCCAAAATGATTTTTTCCTTTTCCACTGATTTCTACTCAATGACATTTCAAAATAGAAAAGCAAAGGATGCAAAAGAAACCATGAATAGCGCTATGAGTATTTCAATGCCAATTATAGCATATCCGTTTCTGTGCCTAGAAGCGTTGTGCTGTGCTTATATTCATAATCGTATTTAGATTTACAGAATTATAACTGGTTAATTTAATTATGCATTAACAAATTATTTGCAAAACTACATATAAACAATATGGTAAATGAATGCTTCTTATCTTGAATATGAGTCAGTACAATGCACTGGGAGTCACTGAATTCACTGCAGCGATGCAAGATCCAGTATGGTCCAGTACAGTTTTGTTATTGTAAATAATACTGACATTGGTTTATTTTAAAGTTTAAAATCAGATGTTTACCTCTCAAAACTTTTCCACTCAAAAGGTAAGACGTGCGCATCTTCCTGCTTACCTGAAGTTTCACATGCAGTTGAGTCATCTACAGTCTTTTTTGATGCATCTTTTCTGTACACGACATGAGGTTTGATGTGTTCTTCTTCATAATGTTCACCATTGTAGCTATGAAGGGGTTCCACAAAAAACTCCCCTTCTGGTGACCTGAAAGTGCCAAGCTAAAACAAACAACAAAGTTTAAATTGGTCCGCAGCCAGTGAAGTCTATAGACACATTCTGTGTGTGACTGTAAATTGCCCTTACAACTTCCCCCTAAGATTTGATTTACGTACAAATCCTAAGTGGCTGATGGAGTGATAAAGTAAACATACATTGCATGCATATCAGTGTACTGGCCTCAGGGGGGTAATGAATGCAGAATGTTGTTGATAACTATCAGAACATTCTGCCACACTTACGAAGCATAAAGTTTTGAAATGTGAATTTCCTAAAAGTCAGCGAGAAGCACATTGGTAAACGCTCTCCTTATCTTCAAGAAGAAAAATATTGAACAGGTTTGAGGCCGGTTATTGTATTACAGATAACACATTTTAGACAAATTGTTTGTATACACGTACCTGAGCATTAAGGGATACAAACTGGCCATCCCAAACAAGCCTGACAAATTTACTAAAAATTGCCGGAGATTCTGCATAAGAATACATGTGCAATAACTTTAACATTAAAATACCATATAACCATATAATCTCCCGGCTACAGGCACTCTATACTAATGGGGGTAGTGTTATCTAGGCAGGCAATCCAAACTTCATAGGTTCAAACCCTGAAAGGAGGAATAAATGAATCATGTTGTGTCAGATTTTCTTCAATGTGTAGATTAAAATGTAATAAAATGTTAACATAACATTTTCTCTTTTTGGTTTTGTTAAATGTTTTGAATATTTTAAACCAACATTATGGTTTACCTTATGGTGCTTGAGGACAATCAAGAGCAAACTCGAATGCAAACATCAGATTAATTGAAAAGGCGGCTAATTAGGGACACAGATCCTTCCGCTTTCACTGAAAGCCTAGGCCTACAGTTCTCATGATAGCATATTGAAAAATATTGGACATATAATGCTTTCTGACAATCTCCATTGACAGACATTCAAAAGTAACCAAATATTCTTACATAGATATAGCCTAAATTATTTTTAGCATCACCATCTAAATGTTTTATATAGAGCTTGCATTGCCTGGATGTCAAGGACAACGTAACAACGAAAGCATCACTAAATACGGTTTGAATAGGTTCTTTGAAACGATCGGAAGAACCGATTCGCTAGTTCGTTCCCAAGACTACTTTTGATCTGTGAGAAACTGCGTCACATGGCACGACCTCACGTTCACATCAACAGATGACATCTGAGTCCCATATATGGACTGCCGATGACGTCGGGCACACTACTGCTGCTTATGCCACTGATGAGTGTGCGTCACCCAGCTCATTTACAGAGCGTAATTTTGTATGATACCTGATTTAACATGTTGGGAAAATACTTTCGAAGCGATCTGTCTCAAAATTGGTGCGCATGTATCCGACTAACTAGCTCCAAACTTCTTTGTGCGATTGTGTGCGAGTAATTATATAACCACATAGGAAGGATCTGGGGTGCATATTAACATTTGCAAAGTTTCCGAATGCATACTGCGACCTGTATCGCATAAATTATGATTAAGATAATTATTAGTAATAATAAACGTTTGTTAAACTCACCAAACCGGAGCAGAGGTTGATTACTGCGGTATGCTCCTGCCCAGCGTTCACATGTCCTTTATAAAAGCAGTGCTGGTACTCCGTGTCCTCCTCCTCCCCCTCTTCTGAATTATAACCTTCACTGGATGCTCCGAGTATCGTGACAGTGTAAACTGGCGCAATAAATCCCGACTCGAGCGTAAGATTAAGGTAATAGTCCTGCCCAAAGGCAGATAGTTGGTAATAGACGTGCGGAGAGGTCCAATGATGGGAGATGTTGCCGGTTACTGGGTCGGTACTCCGCTTTCTCCTCTTGAAGTGCACGCCGGTTGGCAGTTTGTCACCGGATTCATTCACTCTGGCCGGAGTTACAATCTCATACGCGCCAAAATGCGATAATTTCGCTGTGGTAGAAAGCAGAGATTGAGTAGTAAAATTAAGTAACAACAAGTCAGTCATTCTATATATGTCGTTTGCAGTGATTTGTAAAGTACATTTTTGTGGCATTTAAACTTTTTTTTTTTCAGACAAACTGTCTAAATGATCAAGTATTGCTCTGCGCGTCTATGTAACAAACAGGTAACAGGGTTGACAGTTTTACATTTTAATTTGGCATTACAAGATAGAGAAACTACACTTGCTAGAAAAACAATTTAATGTCGAAATTTCTTGAAATACCTACTAATCATGGTAACAGGGTTGACAGTGTAAGGTCGTGTCTACCCTTAAACATAAAAACATAAAGTAATGAAAAAGAGAACACTTAAACCTGTACTTGAAGAGCTCACTTAGAGAATTATTCTCAAATAGGTAAATATAGCCTAATATAGTAACAGGGTTGAACACAACTTTAAGTTTTATTTAAATAATTCATTGTCAGCCTACACTACTTTCAAAATATATATATAGAAAAAGCTCCATCAAAATAGTTGCTAACTGTTTTTTCCCCTAAGACTCCACGAGATAAATCAGGTGTCAGTCCGTTACTATTACTCGAAGACTCTTCATACAGCGCGCTATGAATTCTGAAGCAAGCAAGGAAAAGTCATTCATTCTCCGCGCCTCAAGGTTCTGAGTTGATTCAGAGAGTAAAAGATCACGAAAAGAGCTCATACCTTTCTCTGAACCTCGCGGTGTCCCTGCTGAAGCTACTGCATTCATAAAATCAGAGAGTAATACTAAAAAACCTAGTCCCCAGAAGAACAAAAACATGATTGTCCACGTTAAAAAAATCAATGCAAGCAAGCCCGAATTCAGTATTCCGCTGTCTCTTGAAACCGCGCTCAAGCCGGGATTTCTGCCGTACGGTTGCCACATCCAAACCGTTTCTCCTCTACTTTATAGAAGTGACTTCCATGTCGCTAACAAGCGCTCGGTCGGAGCTCTTGGTTTGCATGCATAATACCAGAAAGGGGGTCGATGCAACTGTGGTGGTCTCCAGTTTGCTGATTACTCTAGCCGAGACTTGGGCGTACTCTAAGAGACACCCCTCTCTCAGAAAGCCACTCCTGCCATATGTGTCGCTAATGCAGCGTGCAGACTAAACTTCATTTTAAAATCACTGAATATGTTACTCATAACGATCATGCACACGTGCATTATGTTCTTGTTCCTACTTCAGACTGTGCAGTTATGGCTACATTCAGTTCCGTTGCCTCTCTCTCATAAGATAGTTCTTAGACTAATTGACGTTTACATTAATACAAACAGCTTTGGGTCAATAAATAAACTTCCAAATTTAAAGAGCAAGGAGCGCTGTAAATTTGACCACCTGACCTTCAACATAATCTTGAATAGAATATGACATGATATATATTACTGATAAAGTCCACAGAGTTTCTCTTGTATATGGTAGTTTCCCACTTTTCGGGCTGTTTTTAAGCGTTTGTGTCTGTCCCAACACCTGTGTCCCAGCAATGTGCATTTATATGACTGATAAGTGTTTTTCAGTGGCCAGTGCTGATACCAGTTATTAGGCAGCAGGGTGGCTGAATACCAATATATAATGCTGATATTTGTGATGTAGACTATTATAAAGCAATTGAGACATATCCTTGTATGCTGAAATTAAACATGTTACGCAGGATTCACTAAAATATACTTTAATAACAAATGTTACTTTGCACTCTGATAGCTAATTATGCGAGAATCACTTTTAAATCACTGCATGAGCAGTAAAAACATCTTGGCTCAATACATATGGTTCCTTACAGCCACAAAATCTTCCGGAAGGTATTCTCTATTTACAGTTACATTATCTTCTCTGAAGTTATAATAAACCTGCTTCATGGGATTCATTTGGGTTATAGATTTGGACAAAGCATAGTACAGTTTTCCATTAAGTTTAGATGAAAAGAGTTGGAGATTCTATCTACACTGTAAGATTTCCTGGAGTGAATATGGATTTCACCATGCACCAGCTGTAAGGCTGCTTAAAGGAAAGTATGAATGAGCGAGAGCGAGAGAGAGAGGCTGACTGTAGCGTGTCGGACTTGCAATCGTGTAACAAGGGTGACCTCAAGTCAGTGTAAACTTCACTTCCTCTTGGCTTTGATGAGATGATAAGAACTAGAAAGCTTGAATGGATGCTGAAAGTTGACTCGAGTGTTCAAAGAAGGGTCAAGATGAGTCACTGAATGTCCCTGCACCACTATGCTAAACTTTACCTCACAATCATCCGATAATCAGACATACAGCAAGATTCCCAGGTTGCTTTTTTCTTTTCTTTCAAGCTTGATTTTTTTAAAGGGGTCATATGATGCGATTTCAATTTTTCCTTTCTCTTTGGAGTGTTACAAGCTCTTCTTTATGCTTCTGCATAAAGAAGATCTGTAAAGTTGCAAAGACTAAAGTCTCAAATCCAAAGAGATATTCTTTATAAAAGTTAAGAGTCAGCCACACCTACCTAAAAACCCATATTTCAGCCCATGTAGTAACCTTGTAGTACCCACATAAAAAATAAAGCTGGGGCCAAGATGGGTCTTGCGCATGTTGCCCAGTTGGGGCCCACCTGTTGGCAAGTACAATCCCACATGAAATCCATGTGGGCAATTGACATTGGGCCATTATGGAACCCGCGGACAATCCCATTTTGGGCCCACTTTTTCAGCCCATGTCAAACCCACATGGGCCCCACACACAAATGTTGGCTGGGAAAGTAACAATTGCGAGAAATTAAGTCACAAATGTGTGAAACTTTTTATCTCACATTGTAACTCTCAGAATCTTAAAGGGGACATAACACAAAAGTTTCACGCAATCTCATGTTAATCTTGAGTACCAATAGAGTAGTATTGCATCCTTCATATCGCCAAAGACCGTGCTGGTCGCTGAGGAAATACATCAACTTCACGCTGTGGATCGCCGGATCGGCTTTCACCGTGGACGTAGCGGAGTCCATGTGGTTGCCGCAAGCCTCCTTCGTCGAATCCACCGGCTGTGCCGTTCTCAAGCCCGCCGCCTCTGCTCACTCTAGCCCCCGGCCTCTGCTCACTCTAGGCCGCCGCCGCTCACTCTAGGCCGCCGTGTGTGACGCGGTGTTTTTAAGTCACAAATGTGTGAAACTTTTTATCTCACATTGTAACTCTCAGAATCTTAAAGGGGACATAACACAAAAGTTTCACGCAATCTCATGTTAATCTTGAGTACCAATAGAGTAGTATTGCATCCTTCATATCGCCAAAGAGTTTTTAGTTTTATCATATTTTTAAAAGAAAAATACAGCTTTACGATTCTCTCCGAAAACAACTCCGAATGCATGGGTTGCATTCTGACCCCCTGTGTGTTTTGTCATAATAAACTTTTTAATATCAAATACAAAGCCGAGTCAGAGTGCTGACAGTGCTAAACTGAACATAGACACTTTCCGAGATCTACAGCAGCTGCTTGGGGTCTTTTCCAAATCCAAGCACTTCACAAACCTTGTACTGCTCCATGGAATGAGAACACCACAAATTAAGTAAAGCAGGGATCCATCAAGATTCACAAACAGTGATTAGACAGGAGAGATAGACTGATGAAACTTGTTAAGGTTGGAAAGACCTTTTCCAGGCCACTTCATAACAAAGCCCATCTGTGTTCATAAAACTTCTCTGCTATTTAAAAAGTTGTTTGTTTAGATGTGCTTTTGACCAAGAATGGCTGCCCTGAATCATTCTCATCATGTAATGAATGAGAGAGCATTTTACATATGGCATCACTGGTGTAACACTGACCATGGTGAGTACTTGGAAAAACGTGTGGGATTGGGCGTCCAGATGGATTTAGACAAACTTTGATTAATATGAAATGTGACAGATGGTTTAAGAAAAGTGGTTATATTGTTGATCTGAGCCTTCATGGCATTGCATTACGGCTGCCTGACCCATCTCCTCACATATCTTCTCGTGTCAAACATAAGGACAACATGGTGACCTAATCACTCTCAGCTGTGAGAGAAATTGAAAAAGATAATTCAATGCCCAAACTGCTTAAGCCTGCACGCTGATATGAAGCAGCTGGACAAAAAGAGGGAGAAGGGAGGGGAGCAAATGAAAAAGGACACACAGCATTAGCACTTGTCATGTCAAGAGAACTATTTTCTTTAGCTACACCTCGTGTTACACCAAACAATTAGTATCATCATGAAGGATGATACTTTCATGATGATACTAAATGTTTGATAAGGGGCCTCATAAATTTAATGACATAGTGCTTATGATTACACATGACTATAGTCTGCATTGTGTTATTATAACATACTGAATGTAATGTTCTATCAGTACATATCTTATTATAATTATTAGCATTCATGCAAATAAACAAACCACTTCTTAGGGAAATATGGTTACAGTTTATTTTAAGGTGTCCCTGAAGTATGTAATATTAAATGTACTTAATATAGGGATAGGGTTCGATTTAGGGTTAGTTGCATCTAATTATGTATAATTTACCATTATTACTATAGTAAGTACATGTAACGTCCAACAAGGACACTGTAAAATTGATTTTACCGGAGGTTTAATTTAGGTTTGATACAAGTTCAGCTTAATTGAAAATGTATTCTGACTTGTACCTCATTTTTAGGTTAAAGTGAGGCACTTACAATAGAAAGTAAATGGGAGGATTTTTTGGAGGATTTAAAAGCAGAAACATGAAACTTGTAATCTTATTTAAAAAAAAAAAAACACTTAGATTAATTCTACTGTGAAAACTTGAGTATTATTTGAGCCGTAAAATTGTTCTCATCATTTTATGGTTGGTTTAGGCTTTTAGATGTATATTGTCATGACAATGTAAAAAAAAAAATTATCACTGTAAATAGTTTATTTTTTTGTGGCTAAACTGTTAAAACAGTGAGCATTCTATCATTTACATATTGGTCTCATTTACTTTCAAAATAATGTGTTTTTTTAACCTTAAACCGCATAAACACATTTCATTACACCAAATACACAAAATAATGTTCTTTTTAGCAACATCATATGACCCCTTTAATGGTGCAATATCTATCGCCAGGCTTCAAAAGAATTTGATTAGGTTCACTGAGGCAAAGTCTTGTGCATTCTCATGAGAAAAAAAATGGGGTTGAAAGAAGTATTTGCAGTTATGATCCAATTAAATACAGTTTGCTAATAGATTGCACACATACTGCATACACAATTGCATTTCTAGTATGTTGGATAAATTCAACAAAAAGTCATTCAGAAATGTATGGAAGCCTATTTCTGCCTCAGAGTAAAAAAATCACAGGAAACAGTGTAACATTGTGTGATATAAAGCCCCAGTTGTGGAGTACAAAGTTGCAATTATGAGAAACAAATTTGCAATTGTGAGACAGTCACATTCTGAAATATATAGTCTCACTTACAAGAAACAAAATCAAGAGAAACAACATTACATTGTGTGTTACAAAGTCCCATTTGTGTGATGTAAAGTTGCAATTCTGAGAAACAAATTCACAGTTGTCAGATATAAAGTCACACAAGAAACAAAGTGGCAGTTACAAAAAAAAGTAATGTGAGATTTAAAGTCACAATTATGGGAAACAAATTTGAAATTGCAAGATATAAAGTCACATTGTGAGATATAAAGTCACACTTACAAGAAACAAAGTGGTGATTACGATAATCAAAGTCACATAATAAAATGTAAGTGCCTCAATGAAAAAAAAAAAAAAAGGGGGGGGGACAAGTGAAAATAATTTTTGTGGTAATCAGCATTATGCCACAAGCGCTGTCAGTTAAGCTTAAACTTGTATTGCGTATTCCTTTAATCATAGTTTCTGAAAAGCCAATCAGATTATGCCTCCCCATTTTTTTACACACAGGAAAACTCTCTCCAAACTGTACATCTTTACATCAAAGCCATGTGCCTGTAGGAAGAGGAACCATGAGGAAATATGCTTGCCCTCTCCAGATGCAGTGGCCTGGCCTTTTGTCATATC